GACATCACACTGCAGCTGTATCTATTTTAAATCCTTTTCTCCACCAGGGAAGTGGATTTTGATAGCGTATGTTGATATTCATGGTTAAAACTTGCAGAGGTGCAAGAGGAAAGGATGATACTTCCAGATGATGAATTACACATTTATCTTCACAAGAGAAGATGAAGAATTTGGACCACAGTGGCTGTAAGACAAGAAAGAATAGGATTCATCTCTGCCTCCCTTCCTCTTCTTTCCTCTGCCCCAAATGAAACAGTAAGACAACCTTGGACAGCCTAGGGCAGTTGATAACTCAGGATACAGAACACTTAATAAGGCTTGGGAATAGATTAAATGCACTTAAACCAAAGAAACAAACCAGAATGAGATTGCAGCTCTGTATATCCATGTTTTGGCTCTTACGGATTAACTAAACTGCAGCAGACGTAAGATTCTTATGAGAAACAGCTTCTGCTTGAATCAGGCTTTCTATAACTTCAGCAATATAATTAGGTCAGGTTTAACTGTGATTAATTTAATACTGGAACAAATTCCTAACAAAATTGATGCAGTTACACGGAACTAAGTGGTTCCTAAACCAGTTTTATAGCTACTGGGGAACTGGCACTAGAATTTCAGAAAAAGTCATGACAGAATAAGTGTATTTTAGCCTTCTTTATGCTGAAGGAATATTGCAGCACATACAGAAGTGACAGTAAGGACACTTAAGACATTTATGCAAACCAATGGGGATGCTAGCTTCAAAGAACAGGCAGAGTATTTCTTCAGTTGATCTCTTACCAATATTTTATGTTGTTAGGCTATGGGCATGTCCCTTTTTTAGGAGAGGTGCTGGAGAGAGAATGACAGAGGGATCCACCTCTGGCTTAGAGTCAGGAGTGCTAACACAGTAAGACCTCATACTTTTAAAAAAGTCTATGCCATAAAGCTCAGAAATCAAGAACACTGCACTGCAAATTAAGAACAGCTATTTTTCCTGAGTGTGGGTTCAATGAGTCTTTACGAAAGAGTAGGAAGATGAAACATTTAAGTTAGTGAGCAACAAAAATCCTGGAAGTCTCAAGAATGAAAGTAACTATAGACAATGTGACAGTAGTGATGGAGAGCTGAAAAGGCTAGTTAATAAAGACTATTTCAAAGTAAAATTGTGAAGTGTTTAACTGGGCTGTAGTAAACGTTCCTCTCATTAAGAGAACACCTTTCATACCGAATCATAAGTAATCTGGAACTTTAATATACATATAGTCTAATTCTGATTTCATATGCTGTTGTAAATCCAGAGTGATTCTGATAAAGTCAGTGTTATATCAGCATAAAGTGAAATCAGAATTTCTCAAAGACCAGAGCACCTATAGATTTGATTAGCGTATGCAAATAGAGAACTTCTATATTCAGTTTCCAGTTGGCTTCCCTTCATTAACACAGATGTCAAAAATAAAACAAAACCACCACCCCACCCCCAAAACCCACATCAACTGCAGGGGTGGTGAGCTACACATCATTTTGGACAGATAGAGCCTTACCTAAATGTGCTTTCAGCACAAAAAAACCATACAAATTCATTATGTGTATGAAACATATATTGCAAAATTAAATTGGGATGCAATAATCTGCAACAACATCCACAACTATATAGTATTTAAAAAAAAAACCCAAGTGTGGTTCTTCTTCCATTCAAGTAAAACTAAAACAAGTTAAAAATAATCTTCGAAGCAGCAAGTTACAATTCTTGCTGTAATACCACACCATTTTCATTAACTTGAAGCATTTTCAAGATGTCAAAGACATCAACAAAATAGTGATTTCAAGTGGCCTTTCTGATAATTGTTTTTTTGAATGGGTCCAGCCCAGGTCTGCAACCTGTACAGACATGCAAAACAGGAGGAATTCACAATTATTAAGAACAGATGCTGGAACATGGCAGTTACAAAGTGACAAAGCAAAGAAAATACCTTAAAATTGTCACCAAACATGGGCTACTGACCACTAACGGGCATTTAATATTTTACATAAACAGGAAAGTTGGAAAAAACCCAAAACAGCTCTCCAAACCACCAACAGCAGGGTCATCACATACAAAGTTCTCTATAGCTTGGTAATTTCTATATTGCCTTTAATATGTAGGCTTATATCTTCTTCACAAGATGCCAAACCACTAACAATTTTGGTTTTGTTTAAATGCTTTTTTAAATTTTAAAAGTTACACTGAAAGTCTGTTTCACCTATGAAAAAAGCTACTAATGCACCCCTTCAGAATAGAAAAGTGTGCATATGTAAGTCAGTACAGGTGCTTTTTCTGCTACCTTTAGGAAAGTAAAGAATATATTTTTATGGCAAACTAATCATCAGCAGCCTGCTCTGTCATTAAATCAAACATAGTTTCACAGTTGAAAATGTTACTGTTTTTAAACTTCTGTTTCACTAAATCACCATTTCCTAATGCTTTGCAATAAAACATATGGCCCAGTCCTGGGCTCCTTGCTCCGGTAGTATTACTACAACGTTTTGCAGGAGCAAGGTGTTCAGATTCAACTCAAGCTCTCAATAAGCTACTTAGTGTTTTGTGCAGCTGACTCAGAACAAAGGGAACGTTTTCAAATGTCCATGAAGTGGGAACAGTTAAAGAAAAATCCAAATTCCAAGTGATCTCTAAAAATCTAGAGCTCAGTTACAGGTGCTTTCACAGTCTGTAAGCAGATCTTATTTCCGATACTGAGGACAGATAACATCCTCTCATTTACAACAATGTAAGTCAATAGTACTTCCACTATTTTCAGTGACGTTACATCAGCACAAAACTGGCATAACAGGATAAGGTAATTAGGGCTGAATGCTTTGAAGCTTAGAAAATGATTTTTTTTTTTTCCTGAAACACTGACAAATGTTTTTCAAATGCCCATCCTGGCTATGGTAAGAACAACTGCTTAAAGCCCATGAGCTTCTCCTACTTTAAAAAAAATTATTTAAATGCTATAATTATCCCAAATCATATTATGCCTGTATCACTATGAAGTTTCCTTTCTTTTACTATTTGATGTTCATAACAACTTCTACAGCTTGTGCACAGCATTTAGTTGCAGTAACTTTTGGAAACAGAGCCTGATTCCTCATACCTTTCTGTTTGTGCAAAAAGGGTGAAGAACACTGTATGCTTGAACTGAAAGACGTTTATACTCATATTTGCAGAAGTAAATGGCTAGGAAGGGGCAAAGCACAAAAGAAGTTGGGCTCATAACATCCCATCAGTTTGAGCTGATCTTTTCGTCCAGGCTGGAAAAGGCTGACCATCTCTTACATAAACGAGGTAAAGCATTGTTTCAATACCAGATAAATAAGGATAATATAGCACCTGATGTGGCATTTGTGCAAGTTTTACCCACTTAAATTAAGAGTTACAGCCAACAGGTTTCAGATTTTGTGAACTAAATTTAAATTGAAACTAAGCCTTATTTTAAAAGAGCTAAGCCATTAGAGTGCATTGACTGCAAAGTAATACATACAAGGGTAATTTTGCTCTAGAAAATATGACCGTGGTTAGGAAGAATCAAAATATTCATATGAACAAAGAGGAATATGTAACAGTCAATAAAGAGTAATGGGAAATCTATTGGACTACTCAAAAATATTTAGTAGAACTAAGGAAATAAAACTTCACATTCCCATACTATTCTTGGAACTTCTGTACTTTTCATAAAAACAGGTTTCCACCCACAACATCAAGTATTCCTGTGTGCAGTAATCAACTGCAGGATCTTGACTATGAAAGTGTCTTGAAAGACCAAAGTCTTGGCTTTACAATCCCCAAAGTCTTTCATCTTGTAATTGATTGCACATTTTTAATATACTACAATTTGCTAAATGAAGCCAACCACTCATTACCTCATCAGTACAGCCTGCACAAAGTACAGTTTATTTATATACTTATATTCTAATCTAACACCAGCTGTCAGCATATTTTATATTACATGTGGTATTGCACTTTCTGAGTGGCACCTCGGTGCGTGTTTGCAAGTGAACGAGCTGAACCCCCAAAAGCCCCAAACCTTTGGAATTCACTCCAAGTGCTGCAAATCTAGCAACTGTAAAATGTTAGGGTGAACATCACCCTCAATCATGGGCTTCACTAATTAAAAAATCCTGTTTAAGAATTAGAAAAACAGTCCTACCTGAAGTTGTGCATAAGGGCATTCCGAAATCCTCGGCACTTTGAACAGTTTCAAAAAGTGGTGCCGATTTAGTTGATTGCACACATCGTAATCGTGTTAGAGGACAACAACTAGATTTACAAATATATATTACACACGCACACACACAAAACAGACAAAGCTATAAAATGTTTGGTAACTCCACATGCTTTGAGCTAGCCAGCATATCCTGCTGTATGTTGAACTTCTTATTATTGATCATACTGAAAATCTAAATTGCCGTTTCTGATGTATCTGTTATTGGATTAAACCACTTCCAAAGGAGGAAGAAAGAAGAGAAATGGTGGACCCAAAGATTGAGGGTTTACATGTACGTTCCTTGAATAGCCAGCGTATCACTTTAGTAATGTGAAGAGCGATGCCCAAAAATTTTTGAAGAGACTTAGGCCAAGTTCACCTCTGGCATTAGTGGGTGTATCTCCCACTACTTCAGTGGTACTTGTGTCCTCTTTCACCAGGGTTGAATTTGGTCCTAGGAGTATATCTGGTCACCTTCAGTGACATTAATGGAAACTGAAGTCTTGGACAGATAGAACTGGGCTGCAAAATTAAAAGAGTGAATATTGGACAAATCATGTAAATAAAGAATATATATTAATAATAGTTCCTATTATATAAATAGCCTTTATAAAAAAATAATCTTTCAATAATTTTAATAACTCACCTTTCTTTAGGTTCTGGAAAACATGTATGAAAAAAATCTATTCAGTTCAAGTTAGATTAAAGCAAACCTAAGATGAACACTACAACTCTCTGTTGCACTAAACCCAATTCTGACCATTCAACTTCCAGGTTAGTCAGTTTTTGGGGATGATAGGGAGTTTCTTTGTGAAGGTATGAATTGCACCCCTAGAAATACTGAGCAGAAGAAACACCATACTGAATGGGCCTATTTCCTGCTGCTTTCAGAAACTGTGCAGATGACGGACCCAGAAACCAAAGGGTCATCTAAATCCCATAAATGTTAATGCCTCTGAGCACATTTAAAAGGCACTGTCCTCTCAATTGTTTTTAGATCTTTGAGTTTAAAACTCCTTCCCTTCAAACTATGCTGCATTTAAATATTCGCTATCACTTGAACTCTCTTTCTACTCTTCTCAATCCAGCATAGTCTCCACCGGCTGTACCAGATCTAAGGTAATATCTGATGGACTCTATGTTCATGCTAGCACTATCTTCTTTTTCCTTCTAATTTATCCTATCAAATGAAAAAAGGAAACATTCTTCCAAGTTTACCTTTTTGGGCTTAAGGCATAACATGAAACCACATATCATACTAAAGCTTAATTTTTTGAAGTGTACAACTTCAGTGCTATCTGAAACCCTGTTTTACATTATTTTTTGACAGTTGTCTGAACAGTTCGTCTCCTTTCTCGCCATAAATTCTAACGTTTTTTGTTGTTTGTGCAATTCCTATGCAACCAGTCTTTGCTGCTAACGGGTATGAACAGTGCAGTACCCACAAAGCGGGCTATCAGTTCTTGTTTTCTTCGCTTTCATTTCAGTTCAAAGCATGCTGTTTTATTGTGTGGAAGATCCAGTCCATTTTTGTTGTCCAGCCACCATGGTGAGCATCATTCATTTGCTTCATGAAATACTCAAGAGCTTCCTGTTCTGTTTTGTCCAATGCAAGGGTCTTGCGAATGTATGCAATATCGTCAAAGGACTGCAGTTCTGGCATTCCTGAGCCAAGCATCATGGAGAAAAGATTTATGAAGAGATTGGCATGCTGCCGAATTGCTAGATAAGCCTTATAACACATCTCCTGAAACCTGAAAAAGACAGGTGAAAAAAGCTCAGTGTATTTCCCTAGTAGACGCATGTTACTACTTCACCTCCAAAACAGTTTTCAGGTAATTGGACACTAAAAAAGTAGATAGTCTTAGTCTAGTAAGAACACCATAATGTTGCTGACGAAATATCCTCATCTTCCTGCTTAGGTTATCTTCATTTCTCTACGAATTAGTAGCAGTCAGACTAACACAACAGCCAAACTGCAGACAGGCTTTCTAACCTTAAACCTCGTTTGCAATTCCACAAGCGTTCCACATGAGTTTATGCGAGTTCAGAGCCATTTTAAGTCATTGCTACTGACATTTCAGATTTCAAAGCACATTTCCTGATATACTGCTGCAAACAGCTCTTTCTTGGCTATCATCAGAGACCCACTTCTCCCCTCTAGTTTTATGGGGGCAGTAGCTGTTGCCTCTCAGACTCTGGAGAACGCATTGAAGACAGGGGCATTTGCTGTATCACAACATTTGGTGAGAAATGCCCATTTATGCTGAAATCACCAGTTTAAGTCAGGTTAAGAAAAAAAAACGCAAGTGCTTCACTGCAGCATTCAGACACTGTAACTTAAAATCTGTCTTCCCTGCCCCAAACATAATGCAATTAAGAATAAAATTGAAAGCTGTCAAAGACTGGATCTCTGGAAACACAGATGTTAGGAATGGCTACAGCAACAGTACTTATTTACTTAATTATTCTTTTAAAGTTCTCCTTTCTTAGTAGGTTCTGCAGAATGTCACAAACTACACAGGCCAGCTGAAGAGCTGATATCACAGCAGCTATAGGAGAGAGATGTATTGCTGAGTAACCAGCAAGGCTCTTAACGTGCCCTATACCTGTCATTTAAGGATCCTTTAAGGATTCTCAGGTTTTGCAGTCAAAACAAATCCTCTTGGGATTGCGTAAGTGTTCAAAAAAATCAGATATTTAAAAATTTATCATTATTAACATGTGTGCTGACACTGCAAAGCTAAAGTGACACTTCATGAACTGAATGCCATGTAAGCACTAAGATCACCTACTGATTTACAACTGGATGGCTGATCTTCAACTAAAGAATTAGAACATACTCACTGCAAGCCAAGTAAAATACTACTTTTCAATTTAAAAAGCTAATTATTAAAGGTCACTGGTATTAAGGTGCATTTTAGGTACAAAATACTCTGGAAGTTAAATGTTTAAAAAGGCTCACCTCTCAAATTCCCTTGTTTTGGTACATTCTTGGGCTCCTTTACTAATCACTATTAAAAAGTCTTGTGTTAAGACAAATGGCACACGCTCTCTTTTATAACCAAATTTTTTCTTCTTGTGATCGAGGAAGTGCCCAAAGTCAATGTGAAACAGCTTGGAAAGACAGAAAGGTATTTTAAGATTAGTAATTCCTTGTTTAAATGATGTCATAGTAAAATTGATCATTTGCTTATAGTTCAGGTGGATTTTTTTAAAAATAAACTCATATCAAAGTGAGAGATGACATTAGGCTATGTTTTTAGAAAAACAGATCTTACTTGTCCATCATCTTTTACCATGATGTTACTATTGTGGCGATCACCAATGCCCAGTATAAAGGTAGCAACACAGTAGCCAGCACAAGAACGTGTAAACAAGTCAATAGCCGCATCATACCTATTGAAAACAAAGGAGACATTTTCCTATAGATCTTCTAATACAAAAGTGCAGATTTCCCACCCCCATTAAGGAAGAACCAACTTCTGTCTTCTCTCAATGAAGCAGAGTTCCTGAACTTTATCACTTTATCAGAGTAAAGAAGAAATTCAGCATACTCTGAGAACAGAAGTACTTAGTTAGATCACAGAACAGTAAACTAGCTATTAAAATGACTGTCCCTCTTTTGAAGGCTAGCAGTTTTCACTTTGCTGAGCTACTGTTAAAGACTTAAGCCACATCTTCATAGTTCTACCTCCAACTTAGCTTTATTGCTGAGAAGTCACACAACCACCTCAACTCATTAAAAGAGAGACAAGCACAAATACTAGGCAAAAGAGGGCAAAGAAAAAAAGCAAATCAGAAGGACATAATTTTCCACTTGATGAACTTTAATTCTCTTGAAGTTTCATCAAAAAGAGCACGTGAACAAGAAAAACAAGCAACAGGAAATCTCACATTTCTCCTTTGTTCTTGTCCTTGAGCCACTGATGCAATGTATGGCTGTTAAACTGCAACGCTCCTTTTAAGCCTCCTTTGCACTGAATCTGCATGATTGTATGAGAGCTCCTGACTACCTCGATGAGTCCCACACAGTCACCAATAGACAAACAACCATAAGGCAACATCCTGAAAGACAAAGGTTTTTACAGAGTTAAGTTTTAAGATAGCAAGCAACAGGTTAAAAGCCCAGAGAAAACAATCTATCATGGCTTCCTATTAGACCTAAGAATCTATGGAACATCAGTGCAATGTGAGGCCAGTGGCAGAGACGACCGCTGGCATTGCTGTGGAGGTGGGCTTCTCCTCTCTGGATTAACAGCACTTTATTTGCAGGTAATAAAAGTATACTTACATTTGTCTATCTACATGTGCATTTTTAGATAAAAGTCTGATTTAGGTGAAAGAAAAACAGTGAGACTCACCTATTTTCTTACAGATGCGGCATAAACTTTGGACTGTTATACTTTCTGTACCATAGAGACATACAGTTTAGTGACCTTAGCGGGATGAGTTGCAGTTTCTAGATCCTCAGAAAATTTCTTTTTCGTCCCCTAGTGTTATGTGTAGCTTGCTTTTTTATGCAGAGTCCATCAGCTGCCTCATCTTGCATGCTCATTTCAGTCTTTCACTACAGCAGATGGACTGCTAGGTGTTATTTGATTTTTTTTTTTTTTTTTTTTTAAATCAGGCTGTCACACCATATTTATTCAACTTCTCTTCTAAAGCTCAATGCTGCCTCTAAGAAGAATGGTGGGAAGAGGTGGAAGAGGATGTATTTTTGCAGATTTCCATAGCTGGCTACTGTTCAAGACATGAGTACTGTGAACCGCAGCTCTACAAACAGAGCCGTAATTCTGTCACACATTACAATACGAGAGACAAAACAGTTGTCCAGACACATGAGAGACGATGGAGACCAACAGGTCCTTTCATCTAGATGGTGAGGAAATGAGAACTGGGGGTGCAAAGAACATACTTGGCTTGACAGTGCAGAGGCAGCTCTGTGACGCCACCACCTAAGTCTACCACACAGTAAACGCGTATTTGGAAGCGTAACCTGTGTAGCATCAGTGTTCCAGAAGAATAGTTTATACTGAATGGCGTTCTGCAGAAGCTACTGTAGCCACAAACTATTTAGAGGTGGAGAAGCTGCACACGTAACACTGGGTAATACCCACTTGGTGTACTGAAATGAAGATACCAACTACAAAGAGTCATCGCTCAATAGGGCTGCGAGTTTGGCAACTTGTTCAAAGCAAATCCTACAGATACCATCAGTAGACCATAGCGTGGCTAGCGTGTGCCAGCTCTCGTAGCCGTTCCCGATATGTAGATCCCTCATACCCTTGATTTAGACTAAAGTATTTTTCAAACACAATCTTATCTTTACAGAATCTAGCAGTTTAGCTAACTGAAGGTTATTAAAGAACATTAAAAATCACTCCAACAGGTAAGAATGTGCCTATTTATAGCATTTCATTTATTACCCTTGGGAGAACAGAAGCAATCTCTGGTAACACACCAATGCAAAAACCATTAAGAACAGTATTGCTTGAGAATGACCTCTAATGCTTACCGAAGATCAAGACCCTGATTTTGCCAGATGTTTTCCATAATTCTGATTATCTGAAGTGTCAGCATGTCCTGTCGCAAGTCTGGAATGTCAAATACACAGACATCTCAAATTTCCTAACACCAGAACATTTTGTTACATCTTATTTTACTTTTCCCTCAAAAAGTATGTCTAAAAGAAATGAGGCTTGCATAGTTTGGTGTAGGTTTTGTTCTCTCAGAGAAAAGCAGATTTTAAATAGCTAAGAATGAATACAAGTTTATGATGGCAATTTCAAAACTGTTTAAAAATATATAAAAAAATATGACAAAAGAATTACAGATCACACATCTGTAGTATCCTGAAGATATTTTCAAGTAAAAAGCCACAGAAGTATTAAATAGTATGTTCCACCTCAGACTGAGCATCTTAGAACATACAAAATTTGTACATGACAGACAAATGCTTATTTGTGCATGCCTTATTTTTCTGGAAGAGAAAATTGCTTTGCTCAGATGATTTTTTTTTTTGTAGATTTTTTAAAGATATGTATTTTATATGCTTAGAAAAAATATGAAACAGTAGATTAGGAAAACAAACAGATAAGTAGCTTTTGGTTACTTATTTTTCCTTACCATCTCCATTTTTAAAGATTATCTCATTGTTCTGAAATAACAACTCAGACATAATATCTGGGTTTTCCCAGTTCAACCAAAGGGGCCTTTTTGCAGATGACATTATCCTGCACTCCTCAAGCCTAAAAAAGAGATATGAAATAGGCACAATTTGATTCTCATATCTTGTTTCTGTAATACTACTAAGTTCTCGCTGTTTTCTTCAAATTCTTTGAATTATTATCAAATTAAATATGCATGGTTAACCGATAATCAACCACTTTTACTTTCAGCCTCAAACTTTAATTAGAAAGTGAAATGTTAACCATTTGCTAAGACCAACAGAAAAGCTGGCTACATTGTAAGCTTTCTTTTAGCAGCGTGTGTTCCTTACAAACAGAAAAAAGGACTCCAGTTCCTGTCACCTTAAAGGAACAGCTAACTGCCATGTTATTCCCTAATCTGTTAAACCATTAGACTGAAATCACTTCACTATGAATTACTGTGCCACAAGTTTTATTCAGATAACTTTGAGATACCAACATTCAGTATGTTAACATTTAACCTTAACATTGTTAAGGTTAACATTACTAAGCATTTACTTAAATATCCAGACAAACTTCAAAACTGAAGACAATACCGAAGATTTCCCAGTTGATGGGCAGGATTAAGAGGAGAGATAAAACCTTGTAAAGCATCCATAAAATCTGGCCGTCTCATTTGTTCAACAAGAAACTTCATCTGTACCTGATAAATAATGACATTCAGGTTTTGAGAACACATGTAAATGAAGGTAAGTATCAGATTTTAGCTTTGGTTTTAAAGCATGGTTTTGCATAGTTCCAACGTAAGCAACTCCACATAGCCACATATTACACAAATCGAAACCCTTAACTTTAGTTCTACTGCCTTAAGAGGTAGACAACAGCAATGCACACAGAAAATATTACAGCTTCTAGGAAAACATGCTATCTACTGAAGTTACCATTAATAGTTTTCTAGTTAATAAAATTAAACACAGTTCTAAGTAATTCCTGTGACTGAACAGCAACAGTTTTGGTATGTGGACAGCTTATAATACCTTCTGGGTCTCATCTTTTTTTTCCTGCTTGAGAATATCTGTGAGGTTAATCAACTTCTCCATAGCCTCCACCTGCCTGCTGAGATGCTTTAGATACATTCCACACGCTCGACAATAGGACTCCAGAAGTAAACCAAACCTCTGACTTACAGTTTTATTGTGCATTTCAGACCTACAGAGAGAAGAAGAACAGTTATAGCTTAAAGAGAAGACCATTTCAAGGTGCCAAAAATGAAGCTATACCTGTAACATCTTCCTGAGGGCTGCTTATGGATCCTTCTTTTCAGGTAGGTAACTTGTATTGACCTCCCAAAACTCATCTAATTTTGACTGGACTGATCAGACTTCAACACCCTTCACAAGTAATCCAGCAGAGTTTATAGGCTTTTTCCTCGTTCCTTCTTGCTCCATCCTGTCCTTTTCCATCCCTTGCCTTTATTCAAAATCCACGCTTCCCAGAAACTCTGTAGTAAACCTCAAGCTTACACAATTCAAGTTCCACCTTTCCTTGCCAAGAGCAAAGCTAACCTGTTTCATTTTCTCCTTGTCTCATTTAGCCAATCCCAGGCTGTGGCTCCTCTAGTTTCTTAGTTTGTTCTTACTCTCAGTCTTCAGAGAGTCCTAAAATATATCCCCTCAAACAAGTTAATGAGGCAACTTATTCCATTATCCTTGATGATTACCAAGGGAAGGAGAAAACTGAAAGCACAGCAAAGATTCCTTGATCCTATTTCTGTGTCTGATCACACTATTTTAGAACAGCACTTTTAGGCAAGACTTAGCTACAATCCAGTGTGCTGTAGGCCGAATTACGCTCAGCCTTCTCAACACCAGGAATTACAAAGCCCATGTTATACTTGGTAAGGAAGAACACAGAGATATTTTGGTTATCAAGCTCTTAAAGTCTTTAATAAGCATGTATGAAAAGTTATTTTTCAAAGCCTTATCTGGTCAAATTGGGTGGCTTTCTTTAGGCCTGAAATATTTGTAAAATGTTCTGGAAAAGACTGGTGGTGGATCTGGTATACAAAATAAAGTTCAAACAGCAGAAATCTGTTGAAGTTGTAAACAGCTAACAATATGGGAGGATTCCAGCAATCAGACTACCTTGCTTTTAGAATAATCATCATTAGATAAAAAGTACAAGACTACATATCTATTACTACCTAGCTTTTGAAACTACAAGGGATGACTTCTGTTACCAAACTATGCATTCTAACCCTTAACCAATATAAAGCAAACTTTAAGTGGTAATATTTTCCTAAAAAGGGACATTTAGTATGCCAAGCATACAACTAATTGTTTACAGCTAATAGGAATCCCACCACCCCTTAATATGATATTAAGCTTACTTTAAATGCCAAAAGAAGAAGTGTCCTATCCTTTGATTAGTCAGTGCCTTCTTGAGTAAAAATCTCACAAGCTGATTATCTAAATACTGTTCATATTTCAGAACCTAGTTAAGGATAAAGAAAAAATAAAAAATCAGCTGCAGTTATTATTTCTATGAACAATATACAGATTAAAGGCAGTTAAATAAAAAGCAATCTATTTTTTTACATTAAATTTTGTAGAATGACTGACCTTGGTATTAACACCTGCATGTGTTTGGGTTTGAACAGTATCTGCTAACAGTGCATGGCTGCCTCTATTTCAGGAACTTACCATCTGATGCTTCCTTTACTATTACCATATATTTTAGCCTCAACTTCCTAAAAATTTTAAGATGCTTCTGCTTGTACGTTCCCATATGTTAGGACAGCTGAAATAGCTGCCTGTTCCAGTTCGTAGAACAGTTCCGCATCTCTGCAAAATTTTGGCATTTAGTATCAACAAGCAAAACCACAGCATTACAGAAAGTGAACTACATTTCATCTCCTCCTACTAAATACTCCACAATGCAAACAGATACTTTTGATGACCTCTTTTTCACATGGTCTTAACTTTTTCTGTATTTGAAGCCTCTGTGATTATCAAATAGACATAAGACACCAAATATACAAAAATATGTTACATACCTGTACTAGCTGGATTAAGTACTGAGACAGTTTGTCATCTGTCAGGTACTTCTCTAGACACCGAACTGCAAAAGCTCGCACCATTGGATCTGGATAATTACAGTCCAAAAGCTCCATTGCTTGTTCTGGCTTGATTGGAGGCCAATCTTTTACCAAACAGTACATCTGTGGACAAGAAGTCCAAGCACATTACACAGTTGCATTGATTAAGAAGAAAGGGTAATACACAGCAATGAAAAGTTATCATCAGACACAAACTGTGTCTGGGTAGAAGCTGTTTACTTGCCAGCCCCCTCTCAGTAAACAATTTGATATTAGTTGCCAGCTGACTTTTATTTTATCCGCTATAAGAATGCCACTATAAAAAGAATGAAAACAAAGCCTCATATTTAACTATAATTGACAAATCAGCAACATAGCACGGATTCAAATAATGCCACCAACAGGAAATCTTAAGACTCAGACTGAGCTAAAGAACATGAACAATGGACCAGACTGATCAGTCAATTATCGTGGCAACTTGAATCATCTAAGTTTTCATTCAATGTATCATGCACACATAACTTCCATAAGTTTCCTTTAAAATAGCATATTTTAAAGGTTCTTCAAAACTTAATTCAGTGCTATATGTTACCTGGGCCACTTCATCTCTAGAATTCCATTTAACGGACAAAAGTAATTTGGGCAGAATTTCTGGAGTATTCACACAATAGTGTCTGCGAAAGAGAAAAAAGTTGTGTGTATAAAACGTCATCGTTGTTTCAATAACCATCTAACTGTGCCCTCTCAGTCCTGCACCTTTTTCTTCCTTTGTCAGCAGAATCCAAATCGATGCCCTAAGGTGGTGTCAGGATCCATGCATGAAGGCAAGATGGCAGCAATGGGAAAAATGTAAACTAGTTCAACAACTAACTTTTCTCCACAGGCTTATGAACAAAGACATACAATGCAGAATGCTTTAAAAGCATTTTCTAAATACTAACCCCAACAATACAGAATAAAGAAAATGGACCAAAACCCAAGACTGTCATGACAAATTTGGAGTGAACGGGGTGAATTCTGACTGCGACACATAGGTTTTTCTTCGTTTAGGTTTTTGTTTTCAAATACCTGTGGCTCCAGAGGAAGTCCTTCTCCTGCTCAGTGATTTCAGACAAAGGATCTCGTGTACATATGGCTCGCAGCTGCTCCTTGTCACTTTCTCTTAATTCATTATCTCTAGCTATTCTATTGCTCTGCAGAGAGAAAGCAATCCATTAACCCGCCACACATTTCCTTCTGTTCTCACACAATATACATGAAGTATTTTAACAGCACAGCAACACTTATAGCCTATATCATGCAATACTATCTTGTTGTTTCCTTTTGTTATAACCAAGGACTTACAATTTAAGAACAGAGAGAGATGAAAGACCAGGCCTTCAATTTCTACAACTGCTTTTAGTCACTACTGGGACAAGAAGAGGTACATTTCAACTAGATCAGCTGTGTGGAGAAACAGCAGCAGTTGACACCTGATGAACACCGTAATGCAACACAAAATGAAACTGGTCATTTCTGTCACCAGTTTTGAAATTGCTGAGAGCTGCTGAATGGAGTCAAAAGGAATCGGAACTGAAAAGGCAGAATATGGAGGATGAAGCTAAGTAAATAAGAAGCAGAACACTGCAGGAAAGCCCGAGTAACAGGAAGACTGGAAAACATTAACCAGAATTAGTACAAGATATTCCCAAAGAGCACAGAAAACCAAACTGGTACACACTGAAATCAGTTTTATCTAAGACTTTATTTATTAGAAAAAGCTTAGACCAATGGTAGGGGTATTGAAATTACTACTACTTGATTTTTCACAACTCATACGCCAAGTTCAATTTTTCTCCTACACTTTCCATTTCTCAGTTCATTTAATGCGTTCTTTGCAAAGCAACATATGAAATGATGCAGTCTGAGGTTTCAACTACAGAATCAATTGTACTGCAAAAAAGAGAACTCTTCAGAGGCTTATATTATTGCCTTTGGTATAAAATACAACTGTAATAAACAAGTTTGACACCCAAGATGAAGCCATCCCAAAAATTCTACAAGAGTTCAACAGTGTTTTTATACTGAACTCACATTTTCGTACGTGTATGATACCTACTACTACAAAAGAGTAAGATCAACTCTTTTCCAAGTTCAAATTGTTTAAACTGTAGAACCACAGTATTTGACCTCTTGTTCTGCTCTTTCCCCAGGCAATGTCTACTGAGCACATTAAACAAGACAATAAGCAAGACTGAACTGCACTCTGTCTGCCAGTTCTGTTGATGGAAATTTTCAAATGGTTGAACTAGTAGGTATTTCTGTTTTGAAGTACATGTCTTTTAAAGAAAGTCTTTCCAATGCATCTAGCTTTAAAAAAAAAAAAAAAAAAAAAAAGATGAAGAAAAGAACAATCTGAAATTTCCAAGTAGGAGATCAAGGCATCCTTTAAAAGGTGTTATTTCTGAGAATACGCAGAAATACAGGAACAGTTGTCAGATTATACCACGTGATATCTACTTCAGATTGGAAGTTCTCTGCTTTACATTTATCTTTAATTACATAAATTAGGTGTTCTCATGACGGGTCCGCTACTGTTATATGGAAGAAGAATATTCTGGCCTTCAAGCTTACTACATCTGCCAACATTAAGGCACGAATCAACCAACTCACAGGTTTTTTAGTATCTTGCCCTGTTAGTAGAGGGACAGTGTGAGACCTTAGCACACCAACACGTTTCTTTTATTACTGTTCTGAAGCACATGGACTGGACTTAGAAGTGGGGGGAAATTACTCAGGACAACCCTATGTGGCACAGCAAAATTTCTAGAACCCATTCTTAAATATTATCATAACAGACACAGTGCAAGTAACAAAACCGGAGTCTTTCTGTAAGTTAATGGATAAATGACTTTATAATGACCCTACTCCTGACACAAGATCAAATAGTTGATATTGAACAAGTGACTAATTGTACATATTCATCTTGATTCTGAAAGAATCATCTTAAGTACTACGTGAAAGTCAAAAGAAGCATAAGATGTACCTGCACAGTGGGTCAGAAAGATCATAGTTTAGGTCAAGCCCAGAAGGAAAATGCATTTATCCTGTTGCAGTCAACACCAAAAACTTGAAATTCTATGAATTGTGGGACAGTAAGTTAGATTTAATATTTGAAAATTATTGCGTATTCGAGATATTAATGGACCTACAAGTGTTCTCTTATAAGTATGTATTTACTGATTTTTAAGTGCAGCATAATGAATTTCAAGGTCAAAAGTTACACACTTTGTATCACAGCAAAAACATTTATACAGGAATCATACCTCAGTGACTGCTTTGCTGCTTTTGACCACTTCAGGCAAACATTTTTTACCTCTTTCAGATACGGCCAATGCTACACAGTAATCTAGTATCTGATTTTTGAATGAGTAACAATACATTGCCTTTCAACTCCTTAAATATAGTTAATGTTAGAGACAGCTAACAATATACACAGTACCTGAATACAGAAAGTTTGGCTTCAGTCCTAAAGGTAACACACATTAAAACATAAGAGGGACAAATACAACACTAAGAGGTAACTAGCGATGTTCAAACTTACCAAGCATTTAATGAAAGGATGTAAGAATAACTAATAAGAGGATTGATTTTGGCAGACAACAAGGAGAGTTAACAAAAAAGTGGCATGAATAATGGGAAAGAGACCAAAGCAGCGATATATAGTTTGTTTCCCTGTCAACTGAGTCATTGATACAAACATGCTTTCTCCATATTTAACCACTATGACCCTTTTTCTACAGTATTGTAAAGATTATCACAAAAAAGAAAAGGCAATAATTTGAGACTTTACCTCACAATGTTGGAGTTTAATTGTAAAGTGCAAGTTGATTTTTACTTTGTCACTGAAATGAGAGCTTATTCTCCTCACCATTTTCTATTTTTGTCAACAGATGGAACAGAAGAACCAGTCCAGCACATATACACCCAGGTAACAGGCTGTGTTATAGCAAAGGAATGTTATTTACCAAGAAGCCAGCTGCCCTTCAACCCTTAAAAGCCTTGCAGCACTGTTCAGTCACAATATATACCACAAGCAGATACGCCACTATGATGGACTTCCTGTAGCGTATCAAGAGAAATCAAATGCCTACAACCCTTTGTTCAAGATATGTTGAGATGGGACTGTTATAAATATCACCAGAATTCCCAAACTGGAAGCTTACTGACACCTACGCACTTTCTGGCACAGCGAAACTTTCCACCCTGAGACTCTTCCTCACACAGACCACAAAGCTCTCTTAGGGAAACTCAACTCTTTGAAGCAGCCTCCAGAAGAAAAACACACCAACTAACGCCACAGCCTTGTCTTTAAATAGGTATCATTTTTAGCTTAGCTGCTTTTCTTATTTTTCTCCTTTTAATCATCCAAAATGTGCTTTTAAGAAAGCTCCAAACCTCACCAAAAAGCCAATTGTCAACACACTGATTTTCTTCACACAAGAGAAGACAAAAAGGACTACACTCATCTGTATGTCAATCAATTCCCTTGAAATTCCCTGTACTTGTGGTTATAACTAGCCCATTAAGCAGCAAGTAGAGAGTTAGGTTACAACAGAAAGCCTACCTATACACATGAAATAGCAACAAAATAAAACAGTATCATCGAAGGAGAATTACAACTTTTGAAAAGTTAAATTAAGTAGTTTAGACATCTGAATTAGTGATATAAAAATGTCAAAAAGGCCCTAACCATTTGCATAGTAAGACAGTTTCTCTTTAAAGTATTTTGTTTGGTCAGTAAAGCATTAGGTCAGTTTACTGGTAATATAACGAGAGGAGAATAGATTACTCACTCTGCTAAGCACAAAAAAAACAAGATTTCTTGCTTTTACAATAGATCAGTATACATTAAAAAAATGTTTTATTTATCACTAATATACGGAGTAAAGCAAGTAATACAATTCGTATTTTAGTAGCTGAACTTGGAAGGGGAGTTTGCCTTACCAGCCCCGCATAGCTGTAGTTAAACCCCAGTTCACGTGATATCGTCCAATTGGCATGCTCTTCGATCACAGTCATATCTGGAAACTTTACAGGATTGCTAAACCAATCAAATTCCAGCTCTAAACATGGAGTTTCCTAAGTAAAGGGAATTTAAATTACTTCTTCCATTGAATGATACTAATTATAATATAGCATATTTTGAAAATGTACTCCTAAAGATGAAACTAGCATGCAAATACTTACCTTATTTGGATTCGATCCAGTAACACCGATAGGATTCAACAAATCCTCCAGCCCATGAGGTACTGCCCAAAGATTCAAAGCCATTTTCCCAGATACAAGAGTGTCTGTGTAATCAAACATGTTTATATTTCCCCAAGCCAACGGACAATGCTCCTTAAACAGATTAGAAGATGATTTTTCAGTGTCATCTATTAATTACTGCAGAGTGAGTCAGGAGAAATAACATTTTCACCCCAGAGCAAGTTGTTACATTCCCAGATCAGCAGAAGCAGGCTGTGGAAGCTGCTTTTTTTCTATGAATGACTTTTGTACTGTATTTTCCTATGAATGACTATGGCAGTTATTTTGCAGAATAATATCAAAACACTTGCAAACACATGCTAACATCTTCCCCACATCAAAAGAACTCACGGTGATAGTCAGGTTTTTTGACAGATGGAGACTTTTTACCAAGTCCTGTAGTAACAGAACAAGGGGCAACAGTTTTAAACTGAAAACCAATAGGTTTAGAGTGGACATAAGAAAGAAATTTTTTTATAATGGTGCTCTCACACCAGACCAGGTTGCCCAGAGAAGCTGTGGATGCCCCATCACTGGAAGCATTCAAGGTCAGGTTGGGTGGTGAAACCTGGTCTAGTGGAAGGTGTCCCTGCCCATGGCAGGGGGATTGGGCTAAATCATCTTTAAAAGTCCCTTCCAACCCAAACCATGTTATGATTCTGTAAGATTCGTAAACCTGGCTGTAGACAAAAAACTATATAGTACCTGTGACACATGCTCAAACACAGAATATAATGATGCTGGTAGCTAGAATTAGATGCCATACACAGATTCTTAAAAATTACTATTTAGGATCTTGCATCAAATGCTAGAATTTAAAATTAGATTAGATTTAAAAATCAACTCTAAAGTAGAGTTGAGTATAAACACTGCCCTTTTTTAATAAATAGGTAAGTTACACATAGGTTTAGAAACTTCACTTTAAAGGCACTTGCATCTCAATGCTAACACTGATCTTTGTGTCTAGCAATACAGTATAGACGCTATTTAGAGTGTTGAATGGATAAGCTTTTTTCTGTGTTAATTTCTGACCACAAAAAAGTGGCAGTCTGAGTAAGACACAAGAAAAGAAAAACCTCTATTTTAATCAGATTAAAATAAAAAGTTGCACTAAGACTCATTGCCAGGACAGCATTTACCAAATACCTTCCCAAATTTGACTTAACTGAGTTTTGTTTAGTAGTGTACTGAAGCCATGAACTATTTTACCTCTTTAGCACCCTTCCGGCCTTTAACAGAACAGATAGAAAGGCAGAGCCGAGCAGCACGTGGAAGATCAGGAATGTACATGTCATACAATAGCCATTCATTCCATCTGTAACATTTAAAAAGCAGAATAAAACCAGCTTAAAGACAGCATGGAAGACAACTGCATTTAATCAGCAGTTATACTAAAAAGTATTTGTTACATTCCTACCTAAGCGGCATATGTGCATCAAGAGTACACTTTCTTAGTGAAGAAGGGCCCTCCTACACACATTTGACCACAACTACTGCTTTTGGGAAGGGAAGCTTGCCCAGTTAGCCCTCTAGCACCAACACCATTTAAAAAGTCATGCTAGGTTCAATTCCTGCAACTAACAGGTTCATTCACACTTTCACTCTCGCAAACCTACTGACTGCAACTGTCAGCACAGGTACAACCTAAAGATAATGGAGCTGCATATGTGCTACACTAATGTAAGGCTTAGCTTGTGAAATATTTTTCCCTTTGGGAAAAACAAAAAACAAGTGGAAAAAAGTGTGGCATAGCTTTCAGAACTCCACTAAATTTGAACTGCTAGAAAACAAAAAGGTAACTGAAAGATGGGAATATAACACAGAAATACAATGTAGAAATTCAAAGCAATATTGCTAACTCAAATATTATTCTATTTATCTTAGTTATAAGAGCACAGATTGGTTCTACAGGAACATACATTTTTTTTGTCATTAACTTCTCTAAATAGACTTTATCTCACTTGGTAGACCTCAACTTCTGAATATAGTTTCTTTTCCTACGCTGACTGCCATGCTGGATTTTCTCAGTTGGAAGAAGCAGCAGCAGCTTCCAAGGATAGCATTAATTTTACAGCGTGCCTGTAGCTACTAAAACCAGAGTTTTACAAAGAAATAACTGTCCAAACCCTTCTCAAAGAATGAAGAAATTGGCAGATAAACTTTAATTCACTTTTCTTATGTGTTCATTTCATAATACAGCTCTCTGATTACATCCGTGTTTTCAAGCTATACCCTTCACCACCTTTCAAAGAAGATTTTCTCTTGAAAAGAGTTAAACTATCAGTTTAAGTATAGCTATATTTGGTGCAACTCACAGGGAGAGTCTATTTTTCAACAACTACCTATATTATTAGGCCCTCTAATTATAAAAGTTAATCACATTAACAGAAAAGGTACAGACAAAATTAAAAGTTTCAAAATGCATTAATAAAGACATCAAGCAAAATAGAAAATTCAAGAAATACTTCTGAACACATACTTTGCATCCAATCCTAGGAGATACTGAAATTTCACACCTCCTCATTAGTCAAAGTTACAGGAACATCTTTGAGATACTTCTCAATACATTTAAATACGCTCATATAAAACTTCTTTTTGCACTTTTAAGTTCATATGATTTATTTTTCCAGATAATATTGATGGTAGGTCAAATCTCCTGAAAATAATGAGCCCAGATCTGGCAGTCCCTTCCACGTTAGCCACGATACCCATCTCTCCACACTCAGTGGTTTTGCCTTAGCACACAGTATACAACTTCACCAAAACAAATCTGCAGGTTACATTACATCACATTGCCTCATGCCGAAAGTGAAATATGAACCTGCAACTGGAACACCTGCTATTGATCCACAGGCAAAACCAGAGCTCAGTTGCCCAGAGCTATGCTGATTTCACAGTATTTACGAGTAATGATACTGGAGTTTCAGAGGCAACTGTTAATGCACATGTAAAACAGATCTGTTCGGTAACAAAACCATATTATTATATGCGAGACAAAATACTTATGTTTGAATTAATTCTATCTATTAGTATAGGGATATGTAATACTATTTTGACAAGACTTATGGCAAGGAATTCCCAGCAAGGAGCTCTACCAGAATAATGGCTAAGTCGAGCCTTTACTCCTTCAGTGCTATCATTTATGACACCCTGGAAGTCAGGCTCTCTATAGTCATTCAAGTATTTAGCATACCTGGGATTAGAACAAGGTACCCTTTGAGTATTCACATTGTCACACAAAGGTTCTCCTCCATGGTAGATACCTGTTCTAACATAGATCTGAAAAAATGTCGATATTAGTACTACCTTTGAAATGTTACCATGAACAAATTTTTTCACTGCTATCAACATATACTATGATTACAACACATTACTCTTTCATTTTCATCAAGTAAAAAACAAATTTGAAAACCAAACAGCCCCACCACACCCCAACTCAAATTCATTCATGCTCTGAAAGCAGTGAAGCACAGTCTACAAGCATACCCTTCTAGAAAACACGTTTTAGTCTTTTTCCTCATTAATTGCAAAACTAGTTCTTAAGAAATACCATAATAACCTTGAAATGAACACTCAAAAACCCTGGAATTTATTCTCAATTCTTCCTGTGCCACAGTATAGTGAAAGAAAAGACCTAACAAATTCCAAGAAAGTTTGCGAGCCAGGCTCGTAATATGTCTTCAGTGGGATTGAACCCTACCTGCCTTTTCTCCTTGATCTCCCCATACTTGCCTTTTCAAAAATAAAGATAGAAATCCAGCATCCTCTCATCAAAAGTATTGCCAATTACTTTAATGCATCTTAAACACAACAGAATACAGGTAACAACACGGGGTTTTTTATATCCATTACATACTTGGCTGAAGTGAACTATGCAAACTGACTCCTGCTCCCGTCAGCCTGAATATTTAGCTAAATACCACAACTCATGATTTTTAAGTAGTGTACAAAAGTTTTTAGATGCTTAAACATGGCTGTACTTTTTAGAATTGAATACTTACATAACAAAGTGGTCTAATTTTCTAACATGTTAAATAACACCTCTTTTCCAATGTAAACACAGAACAGAAAACCCGAGAGAAACCCTAAGTTGCTGAAAACCACGTGATGCCACACACCATTTGCCTTACCTTGTCAATGTCTCTAATGTTCACATTTACATAAGTTGCACAGAGGATTCTTATTCTGAGAGCACTATTTATAGTCCAGAGGGATTTGGCTGTAGCTTCTCCATTCATGTAGGGTGTAGCTGTAGAGATACGCCTGGAATAAGACGGCATCGTAAAGGTGTCCAGTGGCAGCTGGGTGTACAGGCTTTCCTTAGCCATCAGCATCAGATTGGGCATGCGACCAAGCATTATACAGCTTCTTATATACTGCAAGAAAACAAAACCAAAATTCAGTATGTTTTCAAAGTATACGCTCTTGGTAATCTATACCTAAAAGCATTCAGGAAAATAGATAAGAGCTTATCACTGTCCTTGTATGTACACTCTTTACAGTGTTTATAGTTATAACATCCAACGGTCTCAATACGTCGTTGGGTAAGATTGCACAGTAACACTTCACACAGATTTTAAGATAAGAACATCATCTACACTAGTGGAAGGCTGAACTGTAGATAGAAAACAGAGCTTAAAAAATTACTAGTCAGGTTTCTTGTATTGCTCCTTGGCTCCGGCGTAGTGCACCACAAACAAAAGCGACTGCTTCCAGATTCAAGCTGCTCCTGGAAGCAGTTTAGTCGCTGTTGCATAGCAGGCTGCTGTACTAGTCTGCTGTGCAGACCTGGCAGCACAGGTGGCTCCGATACTCCTAGTCACAGGCAGACAGCACAACGCAAACAACAGACCGACCTATTTTTGGTTCAGTTGTGCTTGTTACCTTCAGCTCAGCACTGATCCCGACAGACACGAGCTGCAAGTCCTGAACAGACACGGTACAGCCCAAGTGCTGAGAGCATTTAGTCTGGCTAAAGCACCACAAAATACAATGCGTTAAGACAGGTCCAGCCCTGGAGTGTAATTAGTAAGCTTTTTTTGCGGCACAGTAAATGCATACCAGATACTTCAGAAGAAACCACGTTAGATCAAACAGGTTTAGTGTTTGAACTCAAGATGACTGTGCAAAATCATTCATGTATGCCTGCACTTGTTCCCCAGCTCCTGCAGAATAGAGCTGCTTTTCCCATTATTCAGGAGCCCCCACCCTCCTCCTCTCCCGCATTGCTCTCGAGAGTAGATAGTCAACCATTTTAGATGAAGGAATGGAAGCTGTTTATTACAACAATTCATTCCTCAAAGAGGAAGCAGCAGCAGTCTGTCAGGAAATCTACAGGGTGACATTGTTGTCTGCTCCAGAGAGGGCTGCTCAGATGCTCTTCTGTCAGCAGTTCTCACTCTCACAGCAGAAACGAAGCCCAGACAATGAAGGACAGCCAGGCACAAGGAAGATTTAACAATGATATATGCAGTGCTGGAAGTTTATCTCTCCTTTAATAAGATGGGAACATCTAAAGATTTAAGTAATAGGAAAACAAATAGTTTGTTCAGATTTTTTCCGTCTCTAAAAGGGGAAGGGACAAGATTCATAGTAGAAATGGCTACTTAATAATTTAACATCTGACCAAATTTCCTTTTATATTACATCAGCCCCACTCAATCATAACTCATCTCTTGCCATCAGAAACCTAGGACATTTCTGAAAGTACCTACCACTGCTTTATCACCAATGTTGGAGGTAAACTGCTTCATTCATAGAAGAAAAATTACACTAGTGATTAAAAATCTAGTTTAAATTACCTTTTCTCCCTTCGTCTCTTTTGAAGCACATACAGCAACAAATATGTACACTACACATATGCATTAGCCAATTAGTTTAAAGACAAATAACACTTTTACTTCCTATGTTTTGGATTAATTTAATGAAAAAGCAAGCCAGTCATAGAACTGACCACTTTCCTCCCTCACAAAACTGCATTATTTTAGTGTACTTCAAAATAAATCCATTATGTTACTCACCTTATACTGGCTCAGTGGATATTTTTCTAGCAAGTATTCATCACAGCCACACACTTTTAAAATATATTTGCCCTGGTACTCCAAGACACAAAGTTTCAGTTGTTCAGATGACAGCAACATACTTCGTGTTTTCTTCCTAATTGCTTCAGCAATAACTTGTTCAGGCACACAGTCGTGATTGATTTTTAAGGTATATTTCTGCTTATCATTGTTTGGTGAGACTATTACCCATATCACCACTATAATTTGCCCTAGAATAAGTGTAAAATAACATTACACAATCATTTTCAATACAGTTTTAAAGCAAACAAAAACCACAAACCCAAAAAGACCCAAACCAAACAAGTCCTCCCCTTCCCAAACAGAGAACTGCTTGCAGTACTACTGAAGATGTAGACAAGATTCATAGTCCAAATTGACAGAGGGTTTGTAACTTCTGCAAGGAACTACATGCGCTCAGTTTACTTTTGACTCTAGCGTAAGTTCAAACTTTTACTCCTTGAGGTTAAGAATATTTTTATTAACCAAATACTACTGACTATTCAGCCTTTCAGAAAACAGCAGTAACTGTTTCATATTTGAGGATTGCAAGACAACCCGGTGATTCAGCATCATTAATTCCAGATTTTATTTACCAAGTTATATTTCAAGGTATAGTTATTAGAATAGCAAAAAATTGTATTTAAAAGTTGTTGTCCTGCTTTTAAATCTACACTTCATCAATAAAGTTATTCTGAATAACTTAAGGTGTAAGATACTGCTAGTGTACTAAATACAGAACATAAAACAGTGATTTACCTAAGTCACCAGCTGTATTCTTTGATTTCAATTGCTGGAAAAACCCATTGTTTCTACTGTAAATATTTATCTTACCTTTATCTAGCTTATTGTATATGTGTTTGGGTAGCTCAGGTGAAGACTCTACATTTGGAGGACAGACATATAATGCTCTACTATGTGGTGCATTGGCATCTCGAAGATCCACTGCTTCTTTACAAACATTAAGAATATTTCTTCTGAAGTCTTGTACTTCTGGATCCTTAACCATGTCAAATTCACAGACAGGCATGCCAATAGCAAAACCTACAGCATTGAAGAAGTATGAGGAAACAATTATAACTGGTAATTAAAGCCAAAGATCCCTTCTATTAGTGACAGAAAAAACATACTTTAAGCAAAACACAATCTAAAATATTTGTGTTAACCACCGGCTTTTACTTGCATACATAATTGTTTTATTTCATTTAAGACCAATGCAGTTCTAAAGTTAAGTGCACTCAGCAGTCACAAAAAAGATTAGAAAACAGGTGTACATTCATTGAATATCTTGGAAGCCTTAAATCACCACTCTCACAGTTAACACTCCTCCTGAAGGAAAAGGACCAGTAATAAACCTCCTCTGAAGTCAGCACAAAATTTCCTAAGTGGACCAGAGGAGCTGTGGTGTGACTTTTCTTCTGAAACCCTGGCAGGATCATTGGTAGCTATTAGGACCATAATCAACTTTGCTTACAACTGAGTGTCAGCTATTCAATTTTTTTGAGTAACTACACTATTTAAAGATGTGAGAAGCACTCAAAGAGATACTGAACTTAACTCTTTGGCATAGATTCATGTAATAGCAGTCTATTTCTCTCAGGTCCTTTGTCCCAGATGTAATTCCATTTACTTTAATGATATTACTTGCATAATTATTTATGCATGAATGTTCAGATGGAAACTTCTAACTGTCCTGTTGCATGGTTAGCTAAGCACTGTTCTCCCTAAGCCCCGAATAGGTTAAGTTTTGTAAAACAGAAGTAGTTTACTTATGATGCTTTCGTAACAACTAAATAATTTAACAATTGGGAGCACCCCTGAACAAGTATTTCCAGTTGACAAGCCCCTACCACTGCAATGTACATCTGTTAGCAACTAAACGAGAGTGGGTATGTTTGTACTGCCTGAATTTAGACACTTAACCTAGATGCTGAAACACATGCTAGTCTTCCTGTGCTTTCTCAATGTATGATGAAAAATGATAAACTACTCCAGAGATGATTCAAAACATCACAATTTGTCTCCCTTCTCCTCCTCCAACCTCAAGATTTTTTTTGTTTGCTTCCCCATGCTCTTTTTTTTGGAAAGAGGGAGCAAAAAACACCTCACTTCTGAAATTTTACTTTCTAGGCAAGCTAGAGCAGTATTAAAATGTGTGCTATCGCAAATGTGGTTCAAGATTCACAGTTAAATCCAGAATTTACAATTCCATAAACTTCCAAACCAACTGACTTCCTGAACAATAGAACAGGCTTCACTGTAATAGCATCAAATCCTGCTAGTAAGAGACAAGCAAAAAATATCCTCTAACCCACATACAACTGTAAATATCTACAAAGGAAAGACTTTATGTGTGAATGAAACAGAACAGCAAAAAAGTTTAATTCACAGTTTATGAACGTCAGCTTTACTATGATCAGCATCTTTGGACATCTGATGCAACAGCTGACAGTTACGAAATGCAAACTTTTGACAGACACAGGTGATAAAAAACCCATTTCAATTTTGTTTTGTATTTTGAAGAGAAGCCAGTTAAACAGATTAGCTATGTTTAAATAAAGATAATCTCACCTATTTCTCTATTAAGAATCTTTTCTTCTCTGTTACCTACTGGTTCAATGACTTTTAGAAAAGGCTGAAATAGTCGCAGGTCACAAAGTCTCCGTGTTTCATCAAAAAACTCTTCTCTCTCTGCTTCTTGCGTAACACTTACAAAAATGTAAGAAGATTCATCCTGAAGGAGCTGATAGAGAGGGTATTTTCTTGCTTCTTTGAAGAGTTCATGTTTAATAGTCAGTAAGGTGGCCTCACGGAGGCATTCTAGAGTCACTATCATTCCATTTGGGAGAAGACACTCCACAAGGATCCTCGGTGGCATCAAGTGGATGCCCCATAGTTCACCAGATGATGGTCGTGGAGGCATTGTAAAGTCTTTAGATAACTTTGTACTGGAAGTTTTTCAAGCAGTGATTTGTACAAGTAAACCTATGTAAAAATCAGAAATTTAAAAATTTCAAATACAAATATCGTAACGAATTTCAGATAATATTGTTCAAACATGCTTATAACTGTAAATGAATATTCACAGCTCTATTTTACATTCATAAAGAGACTTGACAGAACTGATGCCTAAAGAACTTGCAATTGATGTAAATATATACTCCAATAAGAGTTAATAGCAGAACCACATTAGTTTAGGAAAAAATGCCAATATGCATATGGTCTTGAAATGGAGGATTACTTTTTTTTACCTGAAGTTTATAATTTAGAACACTTAAATAGCATGGAGGATGAAAATATCTAATATTCAAATTATTATTACAGCAATTTTTAAGGAATCTCAAACCCAGTTCTTCACATTTTTAATTTGGAAAGAGAAATATTTATTATCATTTGGATAAGATACAGACCATCAGCTCTGCCCAGTTTAGCCAAACCAATGCCTCAATTATTAAAAAAAAAAAAAAACAACCCTATTTCTCATCCCAAACCTCCTAAGTATTCAAACACCACTAATATAAGTAGTATTTACCAAAACCTCTAAACCTGATTTTAAGAATGCACATATACACAAAACTTGGCCTTAGCTTTTTTAGATCAGTATACTCTATTTACACAAGCAAACCACCTTTTTTTCCATGAATGAGACAGAAGAACTGAGCTTCATTAAAACTTACTGGTTGGGCTTGTTTCATTTAGGATCAATTCCCTGTTCTAGTCCCCTCTGGCAGCCACATGCATGTCTCTGCCAAGTCAAAGGAAAGAAGCAGAACACATCTCACCTAGCAGCGCTGCCTTGAGCCAGCTAAGAGCAGGTCCAAGAAAAACCGTACCTGGACAGAGCAGAGATGCCTTATAGCCCAGTGGCCAAGAACAGATCCTAAACACAGAGCAGAAGAACTAGGCACGCTCACAGTGATACTTCATCAATAAACTCTCCTAATCGCTGCCTATTTTTAATTTCCTTAACCAGAAGCAATATTTATGTCTTTGTGAAAGAAATCCATGAACAACCATTGAGTTTGTCCAGGAAGTTTTCACACGCAAACTGTTGGCATCCTGTGTCAATAGTGAAGAATATTCCATGTTGCAAAATATTTGCTTTTCTTTGTTTGTTCTGAAGCCTGCTACTTGCACCTGACATCCTAAATTTCTTGTAATGAAACAAAGTTCCTTATCTTTGCATTCAGCCGCTCTTAACTCTACAGAGATCCATGAAGTCTTCCCCACTAGTTCTTTTCTATAATGGCCCCGGTTATTTAGCACTTCTCCACCCAAAAGTAATTCCGTATTTTTGTAAATCCTTGCCAACTTCTTTGTATCTCTTTCACCTTCACCATACCTTATTTGCAACGTACAGGGGGAACAACCTTATCTGCACACCACACTCAAGGTCCAAACTGAGTGCGCGTTTACATAGTGACATAATTTTTTTTATCACTTTCCTAGTAAGTTGCTTTTCTGACCGAGCAGCACTACACTACATACCACAGATCTAAGCTCTCATCGCAGAATAGTAAGTCACTGCAATGGCCATCACACATTACGCAGATCTCAAATACTGCGTTACTTCTACTTGGCCCGTAATTTCATTAACAAGCATACACATTATGAGATGGTAATATCAACAGATATCTAAAGAGCAGTCCATCGTCTGTCGTGCCTCCTCCATCAACCAAGTGTCCTGAAAGCACAGGGTTAGGATAACTACTAGGCTACTATTCTAAAGCCACTCCTAGTCATCTTTTAAGTCAAGAACCTTCCTAGGAATTCCCCTCTACCTTAGTGTCTTAATAACAGAAAGGAGGGAAAAAACCCAAACCAATAGCTTCACAGCTCTTCTGTTTCATCAGCTTTCTGAAAGCTAGAACTGTGAAAAAGCAATGAATGCTATGCTTGCCCTTTGTACAGAAAAATTTTCAACACATTTATATGTATAAATATATATAAATTTTAAGCATTTATATAAAATTAAAAATCTATTAAAATTATATATACATGAAAAATAAAATCCTTATAGTAATTTCAGTACTTCTATGTCTTGGTATTTAATTTTCTCAAAAGTTTTTCGTCCAAGTACATCCAGTATCTGCATTTGCCACAATTCATTCTTAAAAAGCAGCATTAGAATGAAAATGATGTTTTCCTGAATCCACCACATCCTAAGCAACTCTGAGTAACAGTAGGGTTGTCTTTTTTTATCCCTCCTTTGTAGTTGTAGTTTGGGTTTTTAAAAACATCAACAAAAGTACTGAAGTGCCACTGCATGTTTAGAAAAATGCTTTTCCACTAACACCTCATGCATATTTAGAAGGTCTTTGCAACTGACTTCTTTTTAAAAAAAGAGCTTGAAGAAGCTATTTTATTTTCCTCATCATTGTAACAGCCTCAGTAAGCGGATGCTAAAATGGAAAGTTCCAAGCACACTCACAGTGTTTTTAAAGAGCCAGACTTGGAAAACTTACAATTACAAAACATTGCAAATGAACCCAAATAACACTATCTGCAGCAACCTGGAGAATTCTGAATTACTGGTAACTATCCCCTGTTCACAGCTAAAGAGAAATACACAGAAGGTTAAACAGCATGTTTTTGATCAGGCAAAGCATGAACATGATTCCCTCTCCATACCAGTGAATCACATGCTTGTTTACATTTTGCATAGGCAGAAACACATTACTGTTAAGGTATATAGCAGCACGAAAAAAGCCAAAACAAGAACATGCAGTCATAAGAACTTTCTGTCCATACATACAAACAATGACAATACAGATGGACCACAATCTAACTAAATGTTCACAACACAGACTGAGTTTCTACCAGCAGTCTTTTAAGTTCAGTTCCACAACCTTCCTGAGGCTTCTCTGAACTGAGGTTGTTAGGAGCCCATCTTCTCCCTGCCCAAGGCATGCGTTCTCATTCTTCATCATCCTGGCACCCGTGCTCCCTGAGCCACCTTGTTACAGGGTCAGACGGATTAAAGTGGCAGAGAACTACTCACTTTTCCTTTCCCGGGATAGCCTCTGCTATTTTAGCTGCCTTATTGAGACCACCATGCAGTCAGACGAACACCAGGGTCTACACAGGGGAGTGATGACAACTGCAGCAGTGCTTACCAAGTTCTGCTTCAAGAAAGGTGGTTCTGCTGCAAATTTTTCCTCCCTCCCCACCAAAACTTGCTAACCAAGAAACAGAGGCAGGGCTGGGACACACACATACATATTAAATCCCTTGAAAGAAGTATCTTAAAAATAAATGTCAACTCTGGCTTTTTAAAAGAACCTTTCAAACATTAAACACCAACTCAATACCATTTCTCTAGAGACCTGCAAACAGTCCAAAAGGGAAACCCCAAAATCTACCCTCCTTTTAGAACAACTGCACCAAAACAGCAGCTTTTGTTTTAAACTGGGATACAGACATGTGCTGGAACGGCACAGACTCATTCAGTGTGCACATTCATTTTACTTGCACATGTAAGCCCACCTCCAGGGTTTGTATTTGGAAAGCACAAATGTAAACAGAAACAGTTTTGAAGTATAGTTGGCAGCTTGTGTTTCTGTGTACACTTTCAAATCTGGAAGTCTGCCTGGAATAAATAGAATCAATTACGTTCTTTGACAGTAAAAGGACTATAATTGAGAGAAATCTAGAGACATGTTATTTAAATCCAACTAAGTGTATATGCAAACACTTCAAACAAACACTACACCACACCTGCAATCCCTGACCTTCCAAAAACACCTTAACCTTTTTTTCCCCCTGCCAAAAGCTTTGGGATACCACAGATGGTCAGGAAGGCGAGACTCAAAGACACGTACTGATCAAATTGCATCCTTTTCAACTCCTTACAGCCTTCCTGACCCATTCAGCACATTCCCCATCACTAACCATCTGAGCACCCAACCTAGTAGTGACCAAACTTTGAAACTCCATTGAAAAATAATGAATACACACAGAGGAAGAAATAGGGAAGTTGATCAACATACTTCCCAAAATACCGATTCCTACTTGCTTCCAGATATGCTTGTCATACTAATGCTAATTTATATAATTATTTACTTATAGCATAGAAATCAGCTGTAGTCTGATATAACTGGTATATTCCCTTATTTAGAATAAGATATTCACGTTTAGAAAATTTGGTTTTGGTAAACTGTAACAGTTTTATCACCTCACAGCACTGAATCATGCAGAACTACAGCAGCATGGTTAACTCAGCTTCATTCCATTCCAGGGCTATGAGGATGGTGAGGGGACTGGAGCATCTCTCCTACGAGGAAAGGCTGAGGGAGCTGGGCTTGTTCAGCCTGAAGAAGAGAAGGCTGCGAGGGGACCTAATATAAGCTTATAAATATCTCAAGGGTGGGTGTCAGGAGGATGGGGCCAAACTCTTTTCAGTGGTGCCCAGCGACAGGACAAGGGGCAACGGGCACAAATTGAAGCACAGGAAGTTCCATCTGAACATGAGGAAGAACTTCTTCCCTCTGAGGGTGACGGAGCCCTGGAACAGGCTGCCCAGGGAGGCTGTGGAGTCTCCTTCTCTGGAGATATTCAAGACCCACCTGGACAAGGTCCTCTGCAGCCTGCTGTAGGTGACCCTGCTTCGGCAGGAGGGTTGGACTAGATGACCCACAGAGGTCCCTTCCAACCCCGACCATGCTGGGATTCTGTGATTCTACTGAACATTTTATTACAAGTGACAGCCTACAATTATTTTTCTAATGCCTTCTTGATGACATACAAATCTGTTAATTCTGAAAAGGTTTACAGGACACCATCGCAAAGTTTACTGCTACTTCATCTGGAAAGAATTCTTTCCCCTTCAGGAAAAAACTCAGTGAGAAATTCATTAAGAATTGTACTGCAGGACAGTTAATATTGGTTCCTAATATTAGTACTCAAAGTAGTACTTTCTGTGTTCATAATTTAAGCAAGCTAAGCTTGGGACAAACCTCATATATATTTTTCCTAAAGATATCTGAGGCTA